TTTTCCCCCCCCCCCCCCCCCCCCCCCACAAAGGGGAGGATGAGAGCAGTTGTTTAAAAAGGAACTTTACTTGAACATGGCCTAATTGTGTTTCACTTCTGTTTTGCAGGCATCTGATATAGGATCAGAGAAGCTTTTCTCGCCTACTGCACCTAAAGGTAAGAGCATGAATATATATTGTGGATGTTATGTAATGTCATTTCTCCTGCATTGGATGTTTTAGACGTGATTAAGCTTGATTTGACCTTTTACCCCATTCATAAACAAAGTTTTGAAAACAAAGCCCAGGGTTGTCATTTCAATATTCAAGATACTTGCATAATGCATACTGTACTGCAGCAAAACTCATACAGCTAAACCATTGTCTCCTTATTTTGCATTCTAGTAGGCTCTGTTCTCAATTCAGGCAGCAGTTGATAGACTATGTTTTTGGTGTTGAAGTTAATGTTTCCCCCCCAAAGCCTGACAATATGCAGTATGCTCCCAAAGGCCACCAGGAGCTCATTTTCAATCCATATCTCTTCCACAAGAGTAACATTCCTCTTGCCGGAATGGTGCTGTTCTGTTTTTCTCATTTTTTCATAAATGTTGAAGGGTTTTTTGTGCTTGGGAGCCAAAGAGATACCCATCTTTTCCAGGTTCCCTTCAAATGCTGCATTTGTTAGGTTGCACATGTGTAGAAGTACATATGGTAGAAGCAAGTCATAGGCCATCAGCCTCATCAGAACAGGGTTGTTAGGTTTGGGTGGGGTGGGTTTACAAGTTGAGACCTCAATACCAGACAGCAAATCTCAAAAGCTCTGTAATCCTGCTAAAAGCCTGTTAAAATCCTATGAGACTATAAAATGCTGGGATCCTTATTTGTTTCCTTGTATTTTTGACTCGTTTTCAAGTGGCCTGCTGGTAGAGGTTTGTTTTTAATGCGGATCTGAGCTACTTTTTACTGTTTCCAGTAGTAGCAAAAGTTTAGCTGAGAGCAGTAGGAAGTCGGCCCAAGAAGATTTTTTTTAGTTGGTTCACATCCAGGTTTTGTAGGGGAACTAAGTTGTGAAACGAATTCTGTTTGTTGCACAGTGCGAAGGAGCTGTCTAGTTTAATGCTGCACTTCTGATGCCCGGCATGAATCCTTTGGAGAGCCTTTGCCCCCCACTCTCTGAAAACGGAGAAAAGAGGAAGTGAGAAGAGACAAGTCGAGCTCAGAGGAAGAGTAAAACTTGTGACTACTGTCGGGATCCAAATTAAAGTCATTTTTTTCATGTCTGTGGATGACTTCCAGACATAACCGTTGGAAAAGACTTGTGCAACAGCTGACATGTTTAAAAGTAGATCAGAGCACATGGTTTGAGCTCTTCTGATGTCACCAGAAGAGCTTGTTGTTGTTGTTGATATTACAGACTCCCTAATCTGTTACGGCTGATGGCGAGACAAACTGCATCTTCCTTAAAATCCTGCTAATGTGTGTCGTGCAAACACACTCCCTAGGGATCAAAGAGATGATATAGAGAACGCAGAAAGTAGTAGGAAGTGCCAGATTAGGATTAGAAACAAATGTAAAACCAAGAGTAGGAATATGTGTATTAAGTGGTTTAGGACTGCAGGGAATAAATATTATCGTACTAGAGATTTGACGCCCAGTCTGTAGAGATCTCGCATGGAGGTATAACCTTTGAAAGCAATAATGTTTGACGGTAATTGTAATAATTGTAATATCCAGGTCCAGTTCAGACTTTGTAACCATTGATATCCATTAAGTTTCACGAAAATTCTTTCATAACATCGTAACATTTGATGTCCATTTAGTTCCATAACAGTTCCAGTTTGCTGGAACTAGCTGGAGGCCATGAAAATTTAGTGAAAATTATCAAAAATGCTAACATTTTTCAAAACGCTAGTTGATGTTCAAGAATTTGCATTATTCTTCAAGTTCAGACTTCAGAGCCTTTGATATCCATAGATTTCATGACAGTTTAAGTTCAGTCTTCGTAACTTTATACATCCAGTAGTTTCGCTGTAGTTCCAGTTTGGTGTCTTTTAGGTCTATCCTGGAAAACTTTGGCTCTGTATTCCAGAACTTCTGAAGTCTAAAAGGTCTAGGGTGTCTGGCTAAGCGTTTAGCTGAAACCGTAAAAATAGTAATTGTAACGTTTATTTTCGAATTTCCTGTATGTTAGAGGCGTAGCGCCCTTTCACTTGGTTTTGCAATTGTCGTAATCACTCTTCTGATTTTAGCTTCCAAATCGTTTGGCAAGGAATGTATAGTATCATTACCCTTGTTCTCCTGTTGTCGTTGTTGAATGTGGGTTGTCCAGACTTTGTTCCATGGAATTCACTCATTCCTCCAGGCTGTTATTCTAGATTTTGGGGTATAGGAGCATATGTGTCCCATTACAGTACGTCCGCCGAGACCAATCCAAAGCTCGCTCCGCTCTGATCCCCAAATTGGTCTGCCCTGGAGAACTTCTGGCAGACTGATCACTCGCTTGGCTCACATCTCGCGTTGGAGAATTGCATTACAGGGAAATACCTCGGCATGCATGTGGTGCTGCTTACACAAATATGCATGTGTCTTTGTTTCTATAAACAGCTTTTGTGCACACCGGTGCCTGATTTGATTGATTTTGTGGCCTCAGTCAAGTACTGTGGTGACATACAAGTTTTTGTATCAGCTTAACAGCAGTTTAGTTTTATTCTAATGTGAGCTCATATAATTACCGCTGTTGCTGTGCTGTTTGTAACTTTTTAAGAGGCTTGCTCGCCATCTAATAGAGCCAGGTTTTTCTTGCCCTGAATGAAGGCATAGCAAATTGAGTTGTTTTTCTAAACACGTTTCAGAAAATAATATTATAATATACATCTCGACGTGTTCGTTTCCCTTTTCATTTCATTTCAATTTGGTCAAACAACCGCACATGGCGTATTGATTTTGTTGACGTCTGGCCATTTGCTGAAATGCTATATCAGTTGCTGTGCATTTAAGTTGACTGTGCATGGGGTATTGATATTATTGTAGCTTTCATTTGCAGAGATTCTAAAAACCATATTTGAAGAAACATAACCTATCAAATGCCAGTGTAACTACCTTGGCTGAGAGCTTTGCAGAAAGTGAACAGTGTCTAGAGGATTTAATAGTATGCAAAAACATGCGTGGACCGTATCTCACCCTACAAAAAATCATAAAAATTGTTGCACTATTAAATTATTTTCATACCCCATACATATTTTTAATGCAAAAAAAAAAGAATATTAACAAGGACCAATTCTTACTATTATGCAGTTGCTTATTAGTATGCCTATTATTAACACCGTAAGAGAAGCCATTGTTCCATAGTTGGGCAGGCTTCAAGTAAGAGTCTTTCACCTCTCAGTAAGCTTTCCCTGGGCTAAGCCTGTGACCCCGCTGATGTGTTGCCTCGCTTGGGAGAGACCGGATAAGAGGGTCCCAGGAGTGGATCTCGACTGTGAAGAGCCATTTAGAGGTAGACCTAGCTGCCTCTTCTAGATGCAAGGGGGCATGGAGGGCCACGGTGGCAATAGATGTGGAAATGAAGAGCAGGTACAGAACAAGTCCTGCTTTTGTGCGATACAACCATTGGAGTACTCATGAGTTTTGTAATGTTATCTTAAAGGTGGAGTTGAAATTCTGGGCCACTAGCATCATCAACATATTGTCCTGTATTATTTATATGTAATTTGAATTCAAACCTGTTTCCAGACGTAGTGTCAGCCCCATTGTATTTATACTTTTCTGAGAAACTAACCCAAATGATAGTTTTCTTATAGTTCTTATAGTTCTAAACACATGCCATTTTAATACATAGTTTTATTTGGGTTTTGAGTTAAACTGGTAATGGGAAATACAATTGGAATTTAAATTGGAGTAACAGAAGGAAGAACTTAAAGACATTCAACAAAAATTCGTACATAACGTGGTGTAGTCATGATGACGTGCTAGTTCAAATTTAAAAAATGCTTCTACAAAAAAAGTTTCTTCTGCAGATGTGGTCTAGTTTAGGGATCTTATCTGTTTAGGGATCTGACTGCTGAATAGGGATTGTGTTTTTCAGCTATACAGTGCACCCTTAATATACAGAGAAAAGAAGGTCAGGGAAAAATCTGTAGATGGAAAAATCTCCATACAAGTTCTTTGTGCATTTTTCTTTTTTTCTACTTGTTACTTTGCACTTTTTGTTAGAAAGTGTTTATTTACTATTTATTCAGGTATCTAATATTTTGATACTTAATTTCCATGATCTAAATATTCTTAATGTAAAGTTTGTTGTCATTTGGAAGTGTGTAGGCCTTCTTGCATTATTATGCTGTTACATTATGATTATATATTCAGTGGCATAAAATGGTCTTTAAAATGACAATAATATTGCTTATCACAATTATTTAAATTATCAAAAAGTTGTTATTGTGACCGGCCTAGACGTGCACTTAAATTTTTTGGCTTTCTTTGAATTTCAGCTCATTTGAATTTTATACTTTAAATACTTAATTACATTAGATTTTTACATTTTTTAATTGCAACTGCGTATCTTTTTTTTTTTTTTTTTTTTTTTTACACCTCAATCTAGGAATTGAATAGGATTTTAAAAGGCTCAATTCAGTTCTAAATCCTGCATAACCAGTGATGTTTACATGAACTCAATGCATGTTCTTTGTTGGATTGGACACCCTACACTCTAAGAAATGCTGGGTTGTTTCAACCTAATGGTGGGTCAAATATGGACTAACCCAACTGTTGGGTTAAAAAGCTCATTTAAAAACGTAACCAAAATTTAACCCAACAGTTGGGTTAGTCCATATTTGACCCAACATTGGGTTGAAACAACCCAGCATTTTTTAGAGTGTAAATTAAATTTTTTACACATGAATCCAAGATGTCTAAGATAAATACATTCAGCTCAGGTCTGAGCCCCTGTAGCACTGAAGAGGGTGTTGGATTATGGTTTTGGATATCTTCTCGAGTTATGATTGCAAGTAAATTGAAGGCATGTCACAGAACACAGTTTTGGTCTACGTCTACATGGGCAGCTGAGGTGCTTTATTATCCACCCGAGGCTATGGATTTTCTTTTACTAACAGCCTGAATTTGAACCAGGGGCAGTGAGAACATTAGTATGGCCCAAAGGTTCTTCAGCAAGAATGAACCACC